GACCTGTTTTAAAAGCAAATCGATCCAGCTCCCCCCCTTTGAAGGGAAACCCAAAGGTTATGTCAACAATTGAGGTTTGAACATGGAGGTGGGCCAAATTTGTGCTGAAGGAGAAGGCGAGAATACTGAATGAGAACCATCCCTGGTATATTCTCTGTGTTTCTTAGGGCTTAGGTTTCAACCTATATAAACAAAAAACAAAAGATATTGACCGCTACTGCTACTCATCCACTTCACCGAACTGTATGGTTCAGAAGCATCGTCCATCACCCAAAAAGCTCAAGGACCCTACAAACCACAACCCCCAGAAGACCCCGTCTAAATGCTGGCCTGCCCATGGCCAAACGAGGCCCAACTACGACTTAACATTCGGCCCAAGGAAACAACAACAAAAAATACTCGACCACAAAAAACAAAAACAAAAGAAAACAAGAAAGACAAACAACAACGACATACACACAACATATGACCTTACTACAGACCCTTTTTCAGCCAGGCAGAACCCTTTCCTAGCAAAGCAAAAAGGAGTTCGACCATCTGAAACAAACAACAAGCGGTTCGCCGTCCAGCTCTTCAATGGTGGTGTTGGCTGCCAGCACTTTGGCGCACACGGCGGCGGCCTCATCTCCTTCGGACTCGCGAGAAAATCGCGGATGGTTGCCGGTGGGTGTCCCTACAGCCGCAAACCACCCCTTTTGTTGGGCATCCTCAAAACAAGATGCACCTGGACCGGGCAAGCTAAAACGCTCTTGAAGGATTTTGTTTTTTTTTAGGAACAAAATTAAAAGGACACCAAAAAACCAGTCTAAAAGAAAATCATCCCGTTCGGAGAGACCCTTCTAGGCTTATCCAGGAATACCCCAGGCTTTTTCCACCTCCCCCTTTCCAGCCCTTCGTATCAACCAAAGAAACCGAGTTTTGCATGGAAAAGAAAAACCACTCCCGCCCCCCATCTCCGCAAACCAGAAAAAAACCAAGCAAACAAAAAAACTAAGCAACAAGGTAAACAGCTGTAACACGCCAGCACCAAAATTTGGAATTTCCACCGCTCCTAGCTCGTTGCTATTCATCGCCAGCCGCCTCACCAGCTGGTTCTGCATAAAGAGCTCCAGAACTTTCGCGCCTCCGGGAGTCACCCGAGCTCCCTTTTCTTGCTGGTGCAAGAAGGTACTGTGAGTGGACAAAATCCATTTCGCATCACTTGGAAACCATGGGAAACTATTGTTTGTTGGTATTTACAAGGGAATCATCATTCCAGGGTTTCTTAGGTGGTGCAGGATTTCGTCCATCCACAGTAGGGAATGAGGGAATGAACCCAGGGGTTCCCGAATAGGAAAGCATAGGGGATGGTTTGTAGGGGTCATTCCCTCATTCCCTGCTGAGCACCAGCAAGTGTTGGCTCTGCCAACCTGACAAAGGCTCATGTTGGCGTCTGTGACGAAATACGGGGGCCCCAAAGATGGTGGTTGTCCTGTTGGTGTCTCTCAAAAATAACCTCAAACTGTGTACTGTGTACCCTCAAAAAGGACGCCACGTTCAAAATGATTGTTGTTTCCCAATTAAAAGTGGATTTTGGTGAGTAAGCCCCAATGTCCCAACGGTTTTTTGGTGAGTTTGCTGAAACAACATGGAAGCAGCAAACACAACAAGTGCCCATTGACCCATGGTCATCCCCTTTGCTACACTAGATGACCGCAAACATTCCCACCGTTGCGCATACCCCGCTCACCGCAATCGCTTGCTGGGAGCTCGTTGCTCAGCAGAACCCCCTTTAGCTACGAAGGCCTGAGGGAAAAACTGGGCATGCTGTTTTTGGCATTGGATTTCTCCTTTAAGCGTTGATCAATTCACCACTTTCCATTGACTTGGCCTGGTTCGAAGAGGAACCCCGGCTCCAGAAAAAAAAGAGACTGGACACTGCCAGTGTGAGCAAACAGGGGGAATCATGAATTTGGGCGCCAGTCCCTATATTGACACACAACAATGTGGGATCAAGAGGGGTTCGGGAATAAACCCCTAAAAGGAAGCCACAAGGGATGGTTCAGGGCTACCGAGAACCAGCAAATATGTCGGTTGCTTTCTGCTCCCCTGCTAAAAGATAAGTTTAACTTTCAGTGGCTTAATGGAAAACCCATTAGTTGGCAAAAAGGCAAAGTCCTAACATCCAAGCAAAATGCACCAAAGATATCTTTGCCAATTGGATCCTTCGTGCCTCCTTCTTCTCCCAAGTCATTGCCGCTCACATCCACCGCTGTGATGTTGTGCGACTTGTCCTGGAATCACAACTAAAGCGCTTTGTAGAAACAATAACTTTAATTTGGTTAAGGCCCCAGGAAAAAATATATTTCCAGTAGTGATAAATTCCTCTTAAGACCAACACGCAAATAGAGGATGATGTCCTCCTCTGGTCATTTGGAGAAAGCGTACCGATTAAAGCATACGCTCCCATCCATCGTCGTTTTCGGGGTGAAACCGGCGTCTTGAGAACCTCAAAACAAAAAAGGACCAACATCATCATCCCAGTGGAGCACTATTGATTCTAGTGAGATCGCTACAAAAGGTTTGTATGGGCATTGTACTCCCTTGAACTGACCCTACAATGATCAAAGTCACCCAAGTGGCGGGTGCAAAGGACACCACTCCAGGTTCTAACTTTGATAACCTCAAAAACAAAGCCACAATAATGACAGCATGAAGCATTTGGAGGACTAAAAGTTGATGCCCATTTTGAGGAAGGTTGTCAACTAAACGGAAGGGCATGTGATTGTGTAGGGCCAACAAAGGATTTTGGTTCTCGGTTTGGTTTCCCGTTTAACACTTCACAAGCAAGGCGTATCCTTAAAAGCAGACAAGAGCCACGCTGAAAGTGATACAATTGATTTCCCCAATGACGTGAGTAACCCTCAACGTCCAAAGTGGAAAGAACAGCTTTCCATTCGGTTTCCCGTCAAGAAACACACACACACACAAAGAAGGTATCCTGGTACCCTCTGAATGGGGAAAAACGCGTTTCCGGAAAGAAGTTCAGATACACAAAAAGAAGGCACTCTCAAAGAGGCACATGAAAAGCACACCTCTGGACTTTCCTTTCAGACCCACACCAAAACCAAAAAAGAAACCGTACCCTGAAAAAGGAAAAGAACAACATCGTGAACAGCACCCACAGCTCCGAAATCCTCCGCCTAGCTCCGAACCTCCGCCCTGCGGTCGTTTTCTCGTGGCCACTCGTTTCCGGCGGGGCGGGACGCGGGCCCGGGATCGACTTGGTTCTCCAGATTTGAGAGGTTCGAAAAAGTTGGTGCCCTTCTTTTCGGTGGTCTATTTCAGCAGGGGAACCCTCCGGGCCCCAAAAAACGGGGTCGAGCGAGGCTCGAGGCTCGAGCGAGGCGAGCGGCTCGAGTCCTGCAGCGCCAGGGCGATGGAGTCGAGATCCGCCGGCTCGAGGCCCGCGCTCTTCACGTCCAGGACGGCCATGGCCCGAAGGGGGTTTCCGGGTGGGGGCGGGGGGGGGGGGGGAGGGTTGGGGAGGGGGTTGCGGGTGGGGGGGTTGGAGGTGGGAGGCTGGGTTGGGAGGTTGGGTTGGGAGGTTCGGGGGAGGTTGGGGGAGAAATGAAAGCGTAGCGATTGGGAAAGCTACTTTAGGCCCCCCATAATTATAGCCCTTCTTGGGGTTGGCTTCCACACCGCATGTTTGGCCAAAGCTGATAGAGCTTCCGTTTGGCCGGGTAATGTTTACAAAGATCATGGAAGGAGCACTGTAAGACACCAAAGCATGGGTGCATGGAGAGTAGGGGACCGTTAACCCTCATGTTTTGCCCTTAACCATTGATATCACACCCGTGGCAACGGAATTCAAAGGGACTCTTCACATTTATCATTTGAACGGGTAGAACCTGGCACAAACCCGATGCTAAACCTGCGAAAGCGATAGGAATCGGCCCACCTCTCGAGCCCACCTGAAGGGAACTTTGGGGAGTTCAGGTTCAGTCAATGACTTGCGGTTGGCTTGTGACAAACATGGAAGCTGAGATGCAGCTGACAAAATGGCTGCAAAGGTGAAAGCAAGGATCCACGGATCCACGGGGGCTCTTTTGTCTTTTGTTGGTTTCTCTGTAGAACCCACCCAAAAACGCCCCCATCAAAAAAAAACACACTTTCGGTTTCGGGTCCAATTCGCCTCCAAAGAAAGCACACTCACTTCTCGTCTATCTTGAAGGGAAACTCACCCAACGGGAAAAATGCGCCGCTGGATCTATGCCTTCCGGCGTGGTGAGCGGGAGCCAACTGGTCGGACCGTGTTGTTCAGGGGCGCAAAAGGGTACGTGTCGGAATGAGAGGGGCAAAACAAATTCGTGCAGGGCTGTGGGGAATGACCACTTCTGTGATACAACGGAAAGGGCTTCCCAAAGACTATTTTGTTCACATATAAAGGGGGGGTTCCCTTGTATCACAGAAGTGGGGAGAAACCCCCTTGATCCCACAACCCTGAATTCGTGGGCTTCCCTGTTGTTCGTTTAAATCAGGCTGGGTGGCTCTTCCGCTCTGAGAAAAAGGTGGAACAACGAAGAAGCCATTTGTTTCCAGGTCCTTTTGGGCCCTGGATGAGGGCGTCCAGGGAAAGTGGCTGGTCTGTGAAAAGACTGCTTAAAAAGACCCTAGAACAATCGGCTGTTTGTCCTTTGGTCTCTTAAAGGGAGGTTACACATTGGTTCGCCTTTGATCTCTTTAAACTCTCCAAACCGCTCCCAAAACAGATCACACCCCAATAGGTAGGCCGTGTGTTTGAGGCCAGCCCCGTCCAGCCCCGGGCCCTTTGCCTCGGCATCTTCCGCAGGCATCTCCTGACACTTGGGCCCCTTAGGCTCACTAACTTTCTGGCTACCGCTAAAATGTCGTTGTCCAAAAGTTTAAAGTCAGGAACAAGAGGCAAAATGGCAAAGCGGTCAGCTAAGTCTGTGAGATGGAGCGGCTGTGCATGAAACCATGTTTCAAAAGCCCAACGGATTTCAAGCATCTCGGACGTGGCAACTTGGCTTCGCACCCTCACCCAGCCGCTAGCCAAGGCAAACACGGATTTGCAGCTAGTTGGTAGATTTCTTGCAGCAGTCAGCCCATATTCCCCCCCCCCAAACAAGGAAACAGGAGAACCCTTTGCCTGACCTATTTCCAACAATCAAGGAAGTGGGAAGGACGGGTTAAAGCGACCAGCATCTTGAAAAGGCCCTTTGTCCACTTCCGTTACCGTTGAAAAAAACAGCGTAAAGGCAATATATATGTATATATGTATAACTTCTATGTCTGAAGGTTCCACAAGAAGCAAGCTGATCACACATTTTCACGGGTCAAACCTACGAGTCAGCTATCTTGCAGCCATGCGCGAAGCGCTTCCGATCGATTCACAACTGCTTGCATAGTGCCAGTTTCGCCTTCCAGCAACGCGAGCTTCCTTGAGGAAAGGAAGTCCGTCCCCGGACTCATGAGCCCTAAACCCCAAACTCAAGAAAGGACACGGCAAAGACCCAAAGATCCTATAGTGCAGATACCGAAGAGGCCATTCCTGGGGCATTTTCAAGAACAAAAGCCCTCCACAACAGACACATCACAGGCACCGGAGGCTTGGGAAACCCTCTGCAAGGTTTCTGGACTTCACAAGTTGCCGCAAACAAACCAGTCAGCACCTGCAGCCAAATGCAGTCAATGAATCGGCATGAAACATGTCACAACGCATCCGCAAGTCGAGCTTGTGCCACGCCGGGCTAATAAGTCAGCTATCGTGTATGCTCACTATGCAAGAAGACGAACAGTGACAATGAGGATGCAGAGGGCTTTGTCTGTCTCATCCCCACATGGCAGTCATTGAAGCAACCGTAGGGGCGTCTCCATTGGCAAGACGACGGCGTGCTTGTTGAAGCTGAGTGGCAAGCGGGTCCAGGTTCTTGTTGCCGTTGAGCCGTGAAGCGTGGCATAGCATAATCCGTGTCTCCACGCACTGCGTGCTACACCCCTGCAAATAAACATGGAAGATGAAAAAACAATTCGGATTTTGGTGAGTGGCCGCCTATCTTCTTAGATTGCCGGCGTATATTGAGTGCCTGGTGCAACCAGGTCGCAGAGAAACAAGTGGAACTCCTTTGGGGTTGGCCATTTCCAGTAGAAACCCGCAGATTCAGAAACTGCCCAACACAGTCGTCAGACCCCTATCCTTGCAAAATCTGTCTAAAACACCGAAAGGGAAAGGTCTGGTTTAAATCAGATCATAAACTCTGAGGGGAAAAATGCATTTGGACCTCCTTTGCAGTATTCTTTCCAGTAGTCCCCCAAACCAGGTCTAAAACGCTAAATTTCAAGGAGTAATGGCCAAGCAAAGTGTGCTCTTGTTGTTGACGAAAACAAACCGTCTTTAAAGGTAAAGTCCAGAACCAGGATGAAAGTGAGGTACTCACTCCCCCGGAATTAACGTGGACTCCCAAATAGGGCTCCCCAAAAAAGATTCCTCTACTTTTGCTATTATCCATGTCAATTTGAATATGTTTCCCGCCCCCCCAAAAAAAGGGGGGCCGCAAAGGCCTGCCCCGAAATTCCCCACACGAACCATCCTCAAACCTCCCATCACGACCCCAAGCCGGCTCCAGCTTCTTCGGCTCCACCACCCGTCGCTTCCACCCTGGCCGAGGCGGCCGAGGCGGCCGACGCCCTCGGCCGGCCAGGCGTTTTTTTTTTTTTCTCGGACGCTCTCCCGTTTAAGCCATACAGCAAACAGCCTAGATAGCAAATTAGGCTGGTTTTTTTCAGGCACTGTTGCTGGTTGTCTGGGTAAAGTGGATGGAAAACAACAACAGCAACTGGCGATCTAGGAGGAGACCCTCACAAAAAGACACCCCATGTGCGCAACCGAAAGGGGTTAACGATGTTCCGGGAGCCGTACCACCCGGTGGGAAAATACCTTGAGCACCAAAAGGGATTAAATCTGACAACGAACCACGAAGCTAACTTTAAGAAAAAATGCTCCAAAGACACCATTGGCGCAAGTTGGTGGTCTCTATTGAGGGGAAACCAACTGACACCAAACCAATTTTCTAGCGCTGTAAAAACTGGTCATCCTTAGGCCCAGAGCACCCCTGTTCCAGGGTCTGGCGGATTGCCATCAGGCCTTCGGTACGCAGTTTATTTGGATGGACGGAATCCTGCACCACCTAAGAAGCCCTAGAATGACGATTTCCCTGTGAATGCCAACAGACAATGGTTTTCATTGTTCCAAAGTGGCGCAGGATTGCGTCCATCCACAGTAGTGCTCAGAAGGTTTCAGTTATTCTGTCCGTACAGAAGGGTTAAGGGCACTCCAATCCCCCCAAATCCGAGTCAAGCCTCATCTCAGGCCTGGAAACATTCAAAATGGCCTTCCAAGCTCCAAGGGGTCTGGCTGTATGGCTCTCGGGTAACCTCTGAAGTCCTGTGTTTCTTCCGGGTCCTCCAATATAGGAGCCCCCCTTCTGGACGAATTTACCACTTACTCTCGCTTCACGAAAACTCAGGCAACTGTTGGGCCGTTAGATATGCACACATCCAGCCTATGCGTGTTGGTTGACAAGAGGACCCCTTATTCATTGTTTTGCACTGCGGGGTAAACCACATGTTCAACCAAACAGGGCATGACTGCAAGTCCATTGAAACGGAAATCGAAAGATCAAGTTAAGTTCCTTTCCATCCGAATGAACGGACACATCAAGCGCAGTGACAAATCACACTAGGCCGAGCCAAGACACAACTCGCAACACATCCAGCCCGATAACCAATCATACGAGGCCGAGTAGGCCTCGTAAACTCGGAAATAGGGACTGAGGGCATCTTGATCTCCAATTGGCCGCATGAGCAATAGTCAAATCTACGTCCTTTTTCAGGAGGACGTAGCGTCTGAGTTCAGTTCCTCACGTCCCTCCCAAATGGCCAAGATTTTTAATAGGCAACCACCTGAAAAGTAGTTGGTGGGCATGAATCCCCACCTCCAGTAGAGAGGTTAGAATAAGGGTACCCTTTTGTCTGTAGTCCTTTTTAGTAGGGGAACCCTCCCAGCCAAAACAGGGTAAAAGAGCACTGGGGGACCTCGTACAATTCATTCGCCCGGCCGCTCCAGCACTGGCCTCTCAAGCCCTGAAGGCCGCGACGCTGGCGCAGAAGTACGCCCATCTCCTGAGACACAAACTTGGTTTTGTCCCAAAATCCCAAAATCGAAACACCCGAACTGCTTGGCCCCCGAACTGCGCGATTTCGTCTAGGTCCGCGAAGAAAAACCATCCAAAAAGGTTTGGGTGGCTTCGTTTGTTGTCTGCTGGGCTCCTTTTCTCGTTTTTTCGGATGCGGATATCCAAGAAAGCCGCCACACGGAAAGCGTTCTCGGCGTTTTTTTGAGGACCGCTTCTTCGAGGCTCGGTTTTACGGGACTGGACACTTTCCACGGACCTAGGCTGGACTGGAGA